TTTTTGGGGTTACTTTGCAGTTAAGGCAGAAAGGTTGTGCATGCAAATGATCATATTACTACCTGTTCCACTTTCTTTCTTTCAGAAAGCTGTCTTCAGCCCGTTACCCTGCAGGAAATTGATTTGTGTGGCTTTTTCATATTCATCCATGAAATCAAAAGTCAGGAACTCAATTTCACGAGTGAAATAAAGGGATGTTGGTGAATCCTTTCAGGTGAAATACATGTGTTTTTGGCTTGTGTACCAAATCAATTCTGTGCATGACATTAACATGTTGATGTGCCTATGTTACTGACATATTTAGACTATTGACCAATTCTGTCTGCTTTACCGTCCTTCCAGGCTTTAGAAGCTGCAGAAGGAGTAAACAAAATCCTTCTCTGAAATCAAATACAACGAAGATTAAAGCCGGAGAAGACGTAAAGGAAACAGGAAGGAGGTCGATAAAGGAACCATCACATATCCATTTCCATTAACTTAACCCTTGTGTGGTGTTCATATTTGTGTTACTCAGCCAGTGTTCGTGGGTCTGGTGGAACCGCTGCCTTTTTGGGCTTCAATTCAACACAATCAAACTATTTGATGTTAAAATACTCAACAGATGTTTACTTCATCTCAATTACAAGCAGTATAAACAGCATATGGTTCATATTTGCCCTTTTACATTTGTTAGATCACATTAATGAATTAAAGTGCTACTGGCTCGTCTTTTTTTTGTAACTAGCTGATGCTCAATCTCATCCTTTTCTTCAAAGTCACTGTCAGACTCAGAATTCTCAGAATGTGATCCTCACATTCTGAAACCTCTTCCTCTTCCTCTACATCATCATCAAATGGTTCTCTCTCTTCCAGAATCATTTGCAAGGCCCTCTGAGCAGAGAATCTTTTGGCCATCTTGATCAGTTGTGATACTGACCCAAACTGGCAAAGCTTTATTTATTGTGTCCCGCCCCAAATTTGCAGCTTGGATAGAATGTGAAAAAAATTAAGATTGGTTCCCGCAAAACATAATGCGGGATTGTGAGAGCAGACAGGTGTCGGTGCTGGAATTTATCAACAATGTTGCAGCCTTGTGCGGGAATGGCAGGGGCAGAAACACAGAAGTCTCACGCACGCACCCACGCACGCACGCACGCACGCACCCACGCACGCACGCACGCACGCACGCACGCACGCACGCACGCACTCATGCACACACGCACGCACGCACTCATGCACACACACACACACACACACACACACACACACACACACACACACACACACACACACACACACACACACACACACACACACACACACACACACACAAGTTGGAACAGTTGATTAAACATGTTTCTTTCTAAAATGTTTTTACTCTAAAAGGAACATGCTAAAAGAAGGATTTTATCCACTTTTCATGAATAAAGTGTTCTTTTTTTTATATCAATTAAATTATCTAGCGTAAAGATATTTACAACCACCTCAGGTAATGTTTGTTAATCATCAAACTAAGGCATCAGGCAATAACAAAGGCATCAAAGATACTTGACATGTGTTAAATAACCTTGAGTGTGGTAATCTATCATCTTCATTCCTCCTATGTCTGGCGTCACTGATTTAACTTCATGTGATAGTCTGGCCCCACACAGACGTCCACTTTTGCAGAGGTTGTTTTATCCAAACGTTCCCATTCCTGTCCACCACATATTCTTCCCCTTCGCTTATTGACATCATCAAATTTGACAGTGAGCCTTACACACACATACTGTACACACTGCCCCCTACACACTGTGCCTCTTATTTGTGAATATTTTTAGATATAGCAAAACCCAATTTTCAAGATTTCTAGGAGCCATTAAACTGGCTTATGACCAGAAATGTGTTCAGTTGGGAGAAACTGGGCTAGAGAGGTTTTTTGCCATTTCGTTTAAAAAATGTGTACGTAAGTTAAGGCATGAGAATGTATTTCTTTGTCCATGTGACCTTAGTGGCTCCATACATATACTGAATCAGGGAATACAGAAAATAATGGTTCAAAATGTAACAATGTAGGCCTTTAATCTTATTTGTTTTTTTGTTGTGTTAAAGGTCCCATGACATGCTTTTCCGGTTATTACCCGTCCCCTTGTGTGTTATGTAGGTTTTTATGCATGTAAACGGTCTGCAGAGTCACAAACCCTCAAAGTACACCCTGTAGCGACTAGAACTCTAACACAGAAAATACCTGTCTATGCTGCCCCAGAACGCCTCGTTGGAGATTTTTATTTTTCCATTTTTCTCTTCCTGGTCTAAGTGACGTAACGACGACCAAATGGACCAATTGGTCATGGACCAATCCGTGGAGCTCATCACACACCAGGATCCCTTGGCGTCACTATCAAACGCAGTGGGGGGACCTTTAGCGTTCAATTTTCAACTATCAGGGAGTCCCATTGACTTGCATAGAGCTCCCTGAACGTTGGTAATAGACAAGTTGGGATCGCGGAGAAACACTCACTCAGCCTTATCTTTTCTCAGGCTGTGAGTGTGTGGCGAACTGTGTGGCGCACATCCTGGCTGTGAGGTGCATTCACACCAGCCTTTTATAGTCCGGTTGAATCGAACCCTGGTGCGTTTAGCCGCTTGGTGCGGTTCATTTGGGTCGGTGTGAACGCAGTCCGAGACCTCTGAAGTGAACTAAACAACCGGACTCTGGTCCGCTAAAATAGGTGGTCTCGGAACGCTTGCTTGCGAACTCTGGAGTGGTTCATTGCTGGTGTGAATGCAGTCCGCACCAAAACATAGGAGGCGTAGTATTTACGTGTCACAAGAACGCGGATGTCTTCAAAAATCTTTAGTGAAAGAGTCTTTCAAGACATCCGCGGTTGTTTAGTTAAAGAGTGAAGCAGAATTAAGTGTTGAACAGTGTCATGTAAAGTAAAAATGCTCCGTCAACTACATACAATTAAGAACACCTGTCGTCGGTGAAACGCCCCTCCTTACTGCAGAACGTCTCTCATTATATGTGTTATAATGTTTTTTAACAGACGTTGTCTGATTATATAATCATATGCGCGGGCCACTAGTGTCTGTTGATCTCCAGATTAACAGCAGCATGAGAATAACCTGCCGAAAGTGCCGATGCTCCATGGCGGAGGCTCCGGTAGAAATTGCCGGGATTTGCGTTTTTACCCCCTTAATGTCTGACCAATGATTGAACAGCATTTCCGTGCACATGACTTGTGTTTAAAGTTTATAGTCCGTTTGAGTTTTGCCCATGTGAACGCAAACCGAACCTTCTGAAAAATGAAACAATGTAACAAACTGTGGTCTGGTGCGCACCAGAGAAGCGGACTATTAGGTGTGAATGCACCCGAATTAGGGCTGCACGATATTGGAAAAAACTGATATTGCGATTTTTCCCCCCCCTGCGATATATATTGCGATATGAAAACATACAGGAATTGAAGAAAAGACCGTTTTTTTCCCCGCAAACCATCCTTTCTTGAACTTTAATGCTATACAATTGGTATTTTTTTAACTATTTAACCGGATGAAGGATTTTAGACACGGACGTCTGGATCTTAAGTTATCAGAGCAACAAGCTGAGCTAGCTCGGTTAGCAGCGCCGAATTGCCCTGGAGAAACACATGAAACTACTTCATTCAGTATTTTTACCTTTAATCACCGGGTCCGTTTGCTTTGGAGATTTGATTGTGATTGGTGGTTTGCTGTGCATGCAGAGCCTGCATGTCACTCACTCAAGTACCCCTGACATGAGAGCCGCGCAAGTTTTCCTTTTGTAGCAAGCAGCAAAATAATTGTAACATGACGTGTTTGAGTTAATTTGTTAATAGGGCTGCACGATATATATCGTCACGACACGATATATCGTGCAGCCCTAACCCGAATGTATGTGTGTGCTCAGGCTGAGTTCCGGGATGTCTCGCTGTCTCGCAGACCCCACGCAGTAACCAGGAAACTACACCAGTAACCCAGCTCACACTGTCCGCTCCTCGATCCTCAAAGGGCGGAGCAGCGAACCCCGCAACGTCCCGCCAACACGACACCTAGACCCCACGCAGCATTCTCATCTGTTTGTCATTACTGGTGTCATTTCCTGGTTGCTAACAAACGCCATTGTAACACATAATCACTGATGTTCCGCTGTAACGGTGGTGGACTCATCAGAACATAGTGGGCGAGCTGACCAATCAGAGCACAGTGGGCTCATATGGAGGGGGGGGCAGGAGCTCCAACAAGCCGTTTAGGACAGAGAGTGAATACACATACTATACAGAGATGTTGTATGAGAAACCAATGTGATTTTGGAACATTGAACAATGTAAATCTATTCTAGTAGACCTCAACAATGGAATTATGATCAGTAGAAATTGCCATGCTATGGGACCTTTAATGTATCAATGTAAACCATTTCACTGTACATACAGTATGACCTGTACATGTTCTTACTTTGGACTTGCACTTGCATAGACATGTATATCATTTTTTTCATTTATTTCACTCTGATGTGTATGTATGCAAACCTATTCCTATTGTTGTCATTTTAATGCATACTGATACTGAGACGTTTTATTTGATTAACATTAAAATGTAATTTGTTTTATTCTTATATATTTTGTGTGAACTCTTGCTGTCCTGTTCTGTGTTTCAATCGTATTGCTGTTGCTGATATGACACCTGTAAATAAATATGTATCAAATCTTATATCTCAAATCAAGAGCAGAATTGCATTTAAGTTATGGAAAAGTTGACGCAATGTTATTCTTTTATATTTATAGAGTCTATTGAAATGTCATTAAAACGTATAAAGTTCTCATAGAAAGTTCTGTTTAGTTATCTCTGAAGAGTTTCCGAGCAGCACCTGAAGGCAGCAGCAGGAGCTCTCCACCGGGCCCACGCCTCCTCCCTCCTCCTCCTCCCTCCTCCTCCTCCCCCCGGCTCACCTTGCCCAGTGAGCGGCCCGGCCCACAGAGCAGCACCGGGCCCGGGGAGTGGTTGGCAGCTCGTGTGGGTGTATGTATGCTCCTTGTGAGCGGGTATGTGCGTCAGTGTGCCCCCCTGTGAGTTTCCCGCCGGTCGAAGCATGGAGGAGTTAGCCAGAGAGAGCATTAGCCTGCTGGCTTCAGCCTCAAACAAGCCTCGGCTGGACGTGGCAACCCAACCTCGGCTGGGTTCCATGGGGGCCATTTTCATCATGCTGAAGTCCGCCCTGGGAGCCGGGCTGCTCAACTTCCCCTGGGCCTTCGAAAGGGCCGGAGGCATCCGCAGCGCAGTTGCCGTCGAGCTGGTGGGCATTTTTTAAATTTCAAATATGATATTCCTGAAAATATATCCTGAGGTTTATCTGCAATGCTGGGTTCTGAACTTCTGGTAGATATCTCAAGAGTTGAACAACATTGTTTTGCTATTTAAAGGTTATTTTTTGCTTTTATATTTATCTTTTTTGGAAGTTTGTAGTAGGGGAGATGCATGTTATCTACTGAGGGCCACTGAGATCAGATTGTGATCTGTTCCACCTGACAGGAGAGGTCATGATTTCAATAGTAGCACCTTTTTTAAATCCACTTTATCTTCATCAGTGTGACTTTCCTTCTGATGTTTCTCGAGTATGTCGTTCACACCAATGCACTTTTGAAAAGGATTTAGGGATTTGTATTTATCCTAGTCGTTTCCCTTAAACGTGCATAACCTTTTAACCCCAGTGGGTCATCACTTTGACCCTAGAAATTAACCTGATTCTCCTTTTAAGTCATGAGTGACACGTTCCCAGAGTCCCTGCAAATTCCATAAGCTTTTGTTTTTATTGGACCATCTTCCATGTGGATGAGGGACATTCTCCTTTGGATCCTGTGCACTCTAGTTTTGCAGTTTGTCCTGACATATATGGATAAATCCAAGAAGCACTGTCCAACAGTTTAGTAGAAAATCTAAATCATTTCTATATTCTCCTGGTTTGCCTGCCCAGCCTGTCCTCCTTTCTAACTCCCACTTTGTCTTTTTGGATAAATCCCCTGGCAGTAAGAAAAAAGGAGCTCCTTTTTTTAAATTTGATTTAGGTGAAGTTAATTTCATCCTGGATTTGTCGTCCTGCACTCTTTGCACAAAATAAGGCCTGTGTGTGATTTATGGATATTATGTCTTCTTCTCTACTGATGGAATATGAAACCCATATGGTTGTATTGTCATGCATCCAATTCCAAAGTTGAATGTGAATAATCTGGTCCTGGGGAAAAAAGGTTTTGGTCTCTGTTAGAAAAATGGCACTCGATATGGCTTGAGTTTCAATAATCAGGATACATGTATTTATTATTCTTGCAAAAATGGAATTAGTCATCACATACAGCAATATGGTACTAGTTCCCTGAATAGTGTCCTTATTCAGTATGCAAAAGAGGGCATTTCACAATCAGAATGTAGGTATTCACTGGTTCAAACTGGTAAGTCTTCTTTTTTTAGGATTGAGCCAGGAGCGCCAGGGAATATATGTTAATCTTCCCAGAAGACAAACATCGCCGTCAGCTCTAAGAAACACACATTCTGCATTCATACGATTATCTTATACAATCATAAAATATGCACTTGCTGTCTTTACATTGGTTTAAACATTATTTTCCCAACTGTCTCCACCAAAACTTCCAAGACGTAGGTAAATGACAGTTGGAATATTTAAATTAGAGCTGCGTAAAGATTTATGGCCACTAGGGGGCAAACGATATTGTTACGAACCCACTAGGGATGAGTAAGGTAACACACACCAGATGGATTTGGTAAGTATTATAATAGGATTTAATGAGCAACAACAAAGGTGCACAACAAAATGAGATCAAAAGTAGCCTAAACCAAACAAAGAAGCCAAAAGGGCGCAGTTCTACTGCTAGTAACAGGAGGACTCTTGAAAATGAGCCTAATTAACACACCTGAGATCACTTCCAATCAGCACTAATTGAAGGAGCTGCAGGAAAATGCAGCTAACAATATAAACTAAACACACGCTACTCTAAACACATAAATCAACACGCTACTCTAAGCACACATATAAACACGCTAAACACACAACACTAAACACGGATCACAATAGTCAAACACAGTCTATAGCTCAAGACTGAAGTGTCCACGACACAGGAGCAAAAATGTGTGAGGCGTCTGATCGCAGCAGAGCCTCCCGAGTGATAATTGTCCCCAGGCTTTGTAGTAATCTCCGGAAGGTGTGCTCTGGGATTGCACGGGGATTGGAGAGCGTCGGGCCCGGCGTGCTCCAATCAGCGTCTTCGGAGGAGGACTAGGAGATGACAGCCAACGACATTGGGGCAACCACACAGCTCATTTACATATTACACACAGCTGCAAACAATCTCAGACAGGTTAACGAGCAGACAGAATCAGCAGCCGTAACAGATATGAAAACACGCATTTTAATTAATTATTTAAGTCACATTTATAGACATTAGGGCTGTACCCGAATATCCGAATATTCGTTCGTTGGAGTACTATTCGGGTTTCAATTTCGTTATTCGGATATTCATCGCGCTGCACTGCGGCTGCCAAATTGAATTTATTGAAATCTCCAATATGAACGTAAGAGCTTGTGCTTCTTCGGGGGGTGCTAACACTTAACCATAAACTTTGTTTACTTTCTCCGTCTTTATATGTAGATATGACTTTTCTCCGTTAATCTCCGTCACGTTGTTTCCATAGCAACAACAACTTCCTGTCAACAGCGCTAACTCTCCTTCAAAATAAAAGCATGTCCATACAAAATAGGAAGCCAAGCCAAATTACACTTAAGACAAATACAACTGCAACAAAAGTAACAAACACAATGTGATATCCTTTTCAATTTCAAAGAACACAAATTGGGTTATATACATTAACAAATAACTATAAAAAAAACAATACTGTAGAATAACAAAATGAATGCCGTGAATAAACCGAAATACACGTGTTGAAGCGGTTCGCTGCTGATTACCGGAGCCCAACAAATGGTATTCGGGACAGCCCTAATGGACATCTGTTAAAAATCCAAACATTCAGTCAAACCTTTGCTCTGTTTTGGTCGCCACAGACACTAGACCTGTTTTTGTTCTAAGTTTACAGTAGTTATGTCTAATTCCATTGTTTTCAGGTAGTTTGATAAGAGCATTGACTTTTAACCATACAATAAATGAGCTTTTGGTTGCTGGGCCTTCGGTGTTTGAGTGTTCATGTGAATATTTGTTGCTACTGATGAGCAGGTGGCCACTTTCATTGTATCCTAAAAAAGTATGAATGTGTGATGGCAGTGTTTCTGCCAGACCAGGGCTGAGAGGGCGTCCACCCCGAGATCAGGAGGTGTGACGTCACGTTGTGTCACGTGACTTGAATTTTGAATTGAGCTGTCCCTTTATAGATACTATCTCTTTACGTATCAGTGATGGGAATTCCTGCTCTTTTTAGTGAGCCGGATCATTTGGCTCGGCTCACTAAGAAGAGCCGGCTTTTTCGGCTCCTAAACGGCTCTTCATTTTACCACAGTTTACCACGGAGCCTCAGTTTCACCGCTGCGAGGCTCCGGCGCTCACAGTTCACGACATACAGCCAAGAATAAATGCTTAAAGAATATTGTAGCCATCACTTACCAGTCTATGGCAACAGCCTTTACTTTTGGAACAATATCCTCTTTTTTCAACCCCAAGTTCTGTATCTGGTTTTCTTATTTTTAGTATTTGGGAAACACTATCTTTCAGACCTCTCGTTAGACTTCGCTGACTCCTTGTTTCTTATCAGCATAATGACCCAGGAGAAAGTAATTGCTTGGTGCACCTTGTATAAAAGTTTGAAAGTTTTGGAATGAATATTTAGGAGGGTTACAAATGACCCTTCTATTGTTATGTATTGTTAACGGCACCTATAGAAAGTACAAGCCAAATTGGATAATATTCAGCTGCATCTCTTCTTTTTTGTATATCCCAGCCGTCCAACACTCAGAAAAAGCATTGGTGTGAACACAAAGGAATACATGTTCTGTATATTTGCTTCTCCATCCCATAGGGAGGCCTTTCAAATAGTTCCCATCCGTCTTAGTGCAATTTTTCACTTTTATCAGGTTTATTCAAATAAGTATTTTTCATTTAACAGGCTTGTCACACTGCTTTACATTCTCACAATGACACTTATCCACCCAGGCATTTAGCAGTTTAATTAGTGTAATCACCTTAATTAATCAAAACAAGACTTTTATAAAAATGAGCAATGACAAAAATACATGAAGACCAGACTAGACAGTGGAAAATGTATGTTTTCTAGATTTGTACAGCCAACAAACAAATGAATGTTTTCTTAATCTGGCATGCTACAATCACAGAAGTTCATACTAATGTGTTAAGGTATTCAGTCTTGATGAGTGCCCATAGAGTGACAACGTATTTTTGTAGAAAAGAAGATAACATCGTAGGGGTTCCCTCAACAAAAAGCCAATGGGATTTGACCATTGAATTTCGGAATGTTGCAGAAAACAAAAGATCCCAGGCAAACAAACGTTTATGATACTTTATGTATTAGTATGTTTATGAGGATAATCTCCATATTTAAACACCACTTTTATGATGTTTAAAGCTTAAAGTGGACCTATCATGCTATATTTGAAAAATATATTGTAGGGCCATACCGATATAAAACATGTCTGTGAAGTTTTTTTTTTTTCAAAATACCAAACAGATCACCCATTGTAGCCATGCCTCATACTGCTCAAACCCCTCTTTTGCAGCCCTGTTAGAGAAATGCAGATTTTGGGTCCTTAGCTTGAAAAAAAGAAAAGAAGAGGAGGCGGAGCTAATGCCTGATCAGAATTCTACCGGAGATAAAGTTAAATTCGGTTGTGGTAAAACGCCATCCTGTTTAAACCACGTCAAGGATTATTTCTGAAATAGTATGGAGCTCAAATGCCTTTTCTCTTGCAGGTTTATCACAAGGTAAGTTCCTTTTTTTATTTCCTGCTTTTTAAACACATGTGCTCTACAGCAGGGGTTCCCAACCCCCGGTCCGCGGACAGGTACCGGGCTGCGGAGGTATTACTGCCGGGCCGCGAAATAGCTGTGAGTGTATCGTAATATTTGCAGAATTATAAATATATAAAAATATTTTATCATAATATTTTTTTCAAAAAGTGTTTAATTTTCGCACCTATACCACCAGTCATATTATTTCATCCAGTAGCCTAGTTAATCTTTCACCAGAAAACCGTTGAAAATGGCTTTTATGATGTTCCGAGGGATTCGGCGGCTCAGTTCGCACGAGAAAGTTACCGGTGTGCCAAGTAGGAAGAGGAGCGCACAGGAGACAACCGTTTAATTGCAGACTGTTATGTTTATGTGGGGAAATGGCAGTGCATTATTTGAGATATATTTCAAACTCGGACTTCATTATAAGGACATGTCGGCCAGGGGTGTAGAGCTATTTGTTTAAGCACCGGATTCGCAAAACAGGAGAGTAAACCAGTCTGCCTTGATCTATGAATTCATGTCCGGGACTCTCACGGTATCTGCTGCCCGCAGCTGTTTTATAGAAGGAAAACCTCCTTCACTTCATGAAATGGCTGCAGCATCAGGAGGCAGCGGGACGTATACTCCGCCTCTGAGAAGTGCAGCACCAGCGGGTAAAGAGCTGTGCCTTTTTGCGCACCGCCTTCGCTGTGTTTACCTTCATCAGAACAGCTTAAGAGTGACTGCAGGCTGCTACGTGTTAACCACACACATCTCTACACACATCTCTACACACATCGAACTGCCCGATTACTCCCCCTTTTATTAGTTTTATGAAGGAGATGTCCAGTCAGTCACCAAGGCGCATGATGTGTGTGTGTATGTGCTCTGCTCAGCTCAGCTCTGTGTGTTCGGTGTATTTGTGTCTGTCCGACACCGGCATTTAAACGTTGTTAATATGTTTTGGATGCATATTGTTCTAGTATTTGTTCAGGCTGTTACATACAATTAGCCTCTGTTGCTACCTGCTGGTGGTGAGTAAATATTAAAATCAGTTAAAATTGACAACCGGTCCGCGATTTCTTTTTAATGTATCTGCCGGTCCTTGGCACAATAAAGCTTGGGAACCCTTGCTCTACAGTACAGGTTAGCTCTGAGTGTTAGCGAGGCTTGCTAGTGTAAACAGACGTCCAAAACACGTCAGGCATTGTTTCTGATAGCAACTTTCTGTGGGTCCGCCGCCGCTATTACGTCACAGCGGATGGAATCTGTATCCGCTCGTTGTACACCCGTTTAAAAAAGATTTGGGTACGGAGGAAAAGAGAGAGGGTTTTATTTTCTGACGCTGCGTGAGTTCCCCGACGCACCGGGGACACATATTTATGTATAAAAGACATCACAAAGTGCATTTTGCATGATAGGTCCCCTTTAAATGCAATTGCCCGACGTAAATGGTTACATTATGCTATCAAAAAACTATATCACGGTCACCACTGCTAGGCTAAAGGCAGCTAATGTTTGTAGGATAGAGTTTAGTAGTCTCATTTAGTCACTTGTTAGCACTCTGTTTTTGTGACGTGGTAGTTTCCGACATTGAACAAAACATGAAAATCTCTTCAGCTTGAGTTAACCAAAGACCTTATTTGAGGCATCTTGCCAAAAATCATCCAAGACAACGCTGAATTCAATACAGGTGATCCAGAAGCGCTAAACTCTCACTCTTTTTCCGGTTTTAAAGGTCCCCTATTATACTGTTTTTCATCAATATATTATAGGTCTCAGATGTATACAAAACATGTCTCTGAAGTGTTTTGCTCGAAATACCAAACAGATCATTGCAGCATCCCATAAACCCCTCTGTTTCAGCCCTGTTTCAAAAGTGCTGATTCTGTGTCCCTTACTTTAGATGAAAATAAGGAGCCCCTCCCCACGCCCCTCTGCGAGATATTTGGTTAAAAAACCCACAATGGTGCTCTAGGAGGAGATTCAGGTGATAAGGTGGGGGGGTGGGCGGGTGTTACCTTGGTTGGTTATTGGCTAATGGTTACACAACCCAAAAGAACATTATGACATCATAAAGTGGCCAAAATCTGATCAGCTCATTTTCAGACAGGTTTTTATATAGATTGATCAGGACAAAAAGAGAGCAAATCTTTTCTCCTGAAACGTTCAGAATCTCTTTACACAGAGGGGACACATGAAAAAGTGGATTTTGCACAATAGGTGACTTTTAAGACTCATTCATGCACCTCTCTTTTTCAGCATATCGGCTGATGATTCAATTGGACTGCAGCAAATGATACCCTGTTTTTTTTAAATGTGTCTTCTCTATCTCCATCCCCCCCACAGGTGTCCCTGGTGTTCCTGATCAGTGGTCTGATCATCCTGGGCTACTCCTCCTCCATCAGTGGCCAGTGCACCTACCAGGCGGTGGTGAAGCACGTGTGTGGGCCCGCCATCGGCCAGCTGTGTGAGATCTGCTTCGTCATCAACCTCTTTGTGATCTCTGTGGCCTTCCTGGTTATAGTGGACGACCAGCTGGAGAAGTGTGAGTTGGAGAGTCTGAAGAGTGTACAGGCCTCAGCTGTAAAGTTGGGATTTTGCCCTTTTTTCAAAAATCTTTTTAGCCTGATCCTTCATGTTTGTGAATAACTCAATTGAGTTGAATAGAACGCCCTACTGAAATAGCCTGAAGTTGTTTTCATGAGCTATTGAGCAGCTCTAATCTGTAAATGCCAGGTTTGTCTCCAAAATGAAGCCCCAATAAATACCCCTCACTTCTGGGCACAAAACAAGTCCTGAAATTCACATACAGTGCTTACCACACAAAAACTGCTTTGTATAGAAACAAACTTGACAAAAAAGATTTTGAGGTGGTTAATTGAATCCAGTTCACAATTTGCAAAAATGACCTAATTGCAATTATTTGACTGAAATGGAAGATGCTATATGATTCGCTATATTGGAGTGAATGATCATCTTCCAAAAATGTCTAGCATTTTCATTGATAATTATTTTAAAATGGTGTAAGGAGGATCTGTACCAAAAACAATTGTTTTCAATTAAGTCTGTACAAAAACTGCTGTTTGTAGGCCTGGACTTCTCCGCAGCACCACAATACTTCATTCTTCTTAAATCTGAATATCTTTACATAATTTGCCTTTACCCATGATTACGCTTACTGCGATCTAGATAATGCATTAGTCCATATTGAGATTTCGATAAAATGTTGAATAGTTGTGCAGCCCTAAGTGGGGAGGGTCAAACATTTTAAATGAGTTTGTATCACACATTACTGCAAGAGATCCACTTTATCATAAACAGTCACACTAGTAGTGTGTAGTAGTATAATGTGGCGTAACCATCCCATGAGATTCTTTTTAATTGTAGAAGATATAAGCCAACTCGAATGTAAGAACAAATTCCGCTCAGTATTTAATCGGCGGTATGCTATGACACTCGTTGTCAGTTGATGAAATGATCAAAGGGTGAACAAATCCACGATAACAATATCAGATAGCATTAAAGAATTGAAAAGAGTGTCAATGGAGTTGATAGCAAAATGAGGATGGGGAATATTACTGACTTTTGCAATAAGTTTGGTAAATTGAAAGTCAGTGATTCAGAAAATGTAATTGCGCACTAGCAGGCATACACAATTTTCTAGGGATCTGAATATTTCCCAATGTACTGTACAATATTTAATTTTACATTCTGTTCTTGTATATATCATATTATATTTACGTGTATATAGACTAGGGCTGTCAAGTTAACGCATTAACGCAAAAAAAATTAACGGCACTAATTATTTTAACGTGATTAACGCATGTGTATTTTTTGTCCTCGGCCGCCCCGTAGTTTCAGAGCGCATCGAGTTTAAAATAGCATCAGCTTGTAGATGGTGACAGCCGCGCTCCTGCCGCCCGCTTGTGGCAGACCACACTTCCACGCTCACCGGCAGGCCCGGACTGGCCATCGGGAGGACCGGGAGGGTGTGTGTATGTGTGGCGTGAGCGAGGCACACCTTACGTGTTGTTGTTGTTGTTGTTAGCATCTGGTGCTAGCTAGCTGCGCTAACGGATATAAGGAGCTGTTTCAATGAAAACAGAGGAGCGACAACTGCGCCGAGCACTTGACTTTATGCAGGTAGCCAGACAGTGGGACATTGTACGAAAAGTCAGCACACTCAGCACGGATAGTGCGCTCAACATGATTGCAGCGTCCAGGCAGCTCCCATTCGAGCATATATGCCTTGAGCTGCACATAGCTCCAACGATCCATCACAGTGTCTCCACACACACACACACACACACACACACACACACACACACACACACACACACACACACACACACACACACACACACACACACACACACACACACACACACACACACACACACACACACACACACACACACAATTATTGTATGAGAGAGGTTCCAGGTTGAATTGAGGCGAATATTTGTAATGTTCAGAGGTTGTTGTGTTTAATATTCATGAGAATATTTGTCATTGTTCAAATGATATTAAACAAACATATAAAGCATATTTGTCCACTCATATGTTGATAAGAGTATTAAAAACTTGAAAAATATCCCGCTAAGGTACATTTAGAACAGATAAAAAATGTGCGATTAATTTGCGATTAATCGCGATTAAATATTTTAATCCATTGACAGCCCTAATATAGACTTCTTGCACTATTTTTGTATTTCTACACTGTAGCTTATGTGCATATGACATTAAAACCTTTGAATTGAATTGTTTACGTTCACAAAGTAAGTATAGTTTCTGCCCAAAGTTTCAATGTCATGAGCACTTCTTTAATTGACGTCTGTGTCTTGCTTGAACTAAAAGCGGGTCGATAATCCCTCCCCTGTGCTCCTGTTAGAGAGGGTGAATCTGCTGTGACCTCACACAGCTCTTGACACCTCTCAGCAGGGGCGGACTGCTGGGACTACAAATCAGCCCGGGACTCTCGAGCGGCCCACCTCGGTACCGCAAGTAAATACCGCGAGGAGAAGGTCGACGGGGGGGGGGTGCTAGTGACTTATCCGACCGGCCCACATCAGTACCAGTACTTCAGTACCAGTACTTCAGTACCAGTACTTCAGTACCAGTACTTCGTCCCGATGGCCAGTCCGCCCCTGCCTCTCAGTTGGAGGGCAGATATAAGTTTGCAGCTTTGAGTCTAACCTGATGGACCGGATTGAAGGGCCACTCATTTTTACAGTTGCATCAACAGAAAATGTGTCTTTCTAGTCCTTGTCTCTTTGGGACAATGCACTTTATATTTACAACTCAGATTAAGTAGTATTTTCTATGCTTCCTAAGTCTCACGCTTGCATGTCCTGTGTGTGTTCTGTTTCAGTGTGCGGCTCCATGTATGAGCTGATCTCAGGTCTACCGGAGAGTGAGATGCCGTACCACTTCTACACGGACCAGCACTTCGCCCTGGTGCTGCTCTGCCTGCTGCTCATCCTGCCGCTGTCCATCCCCAAAGAGATCAGCATCCAGAAGTACATCAGGTCAGCTTACCCAGGCCTGTCTGATGTGTTTGTCCATTTGCATGATTTAGAAAGTAAGACATATGCCCCTTTCACACCAACGCGTTTTCAGCGCCAGCTCGGAGCTAGAGCCTGAAAAGTACCGTTTTTTCCTGTTCACACCGCAGCGGCGCCGCCTCTTAGCTCCGGAATCCAGTTCGTTTCCAGCTCCAAAAAATTGTCGGTCTAGAACAGGGGTGGGCAATTATTTTTTACAAGGGGCCACTTCAGAAACTCGAGCTGTGTTGGGGGGCCGAATCAAAAATAAGTTGAACTTAATTCTGCTCAATATACCAATACTGAAAAGATGTTTTACAGTATGTTAAAGATAAGAAATGAATCAGCTTTATACAAAAAGAAATGAGTGCTTTTGATTTTTGTTTTTCAGTTAATTTTACTTGTTCAGTGAGAAAAATCCAGTCTGTCTTGGGCTTGAACAAGTGCACGGAAATCTGGTTCAATGTCTGAGGTGGATATGCGAAGGACAGCTGAGAGGTGATCATCAGTGATAGAGGATCTGTATCTGGATTTGTTGAACTTCATCACTGAGAATGTCTGTTCACATATGTAGGTAGATCCAAAGAGGACCATCATCTTCTGAGCACGTCTCCTGATGTGTGGAAAGTTCTCCTCTTTCAGGGAAAAGTAAAACTCAGGCAGTGAGACTGACCTAAAGTGCTCTGACAGAAGTGTGTCAGACTGCAGGTCAATGAGTTCAAGCTGAACATCACTGGGTGCATCATCCACATGGCATGTAAATGGGGAAAAGATCATGTTAATTTTATTCTCAACTGTTTTGAAGTCTTTAAATCGCCTTGAAAACTCACCATGCAGTGCTTCTAACATGGATGAGTACCTCTGGAGGTGATCAGCTGATGGTGTGGCTTCCTTCAGTGTTGGCAAGTGCGTGAGAATGTTGTCCTCCATTTGGCTTGAGAGAAGCTGCAGCTTTCTCATGAAAGCCTTCACTGCACTGTACATGTCATGCACAAAAAGGCCCTTGCCTTGCAGACATTTAGTTCACTCATTAGTGCAGTCACATCTACAGCAAAACCAAGGTCTGCCATCCAGTCTGCATCTGAAAGCTGTGGGATGTCGTTTCCTTTCTTCACACAGAAGTCTTGAATCTCTTCTCTCAGGTCCCATACTCTTTTCAGCACTTTGCCCAGGCTGAGCCACCTGACAGCTGCATGGTAGGGTATGTCACGATGTTCAGTCTCACTTTCCTCCAAAAGTGCAACAAACTGTCTGTGGCTGCGTTTCACTTCTCTTATTTTTCATTTCCTCGCTCCTCGGTCTCGGTCTCACCGGAAGTTGATTTGTCTGCGCCATCTTGAGTAGCGTCCCAATGGCCTTATTTTTGCCGGAGGAGCGAGGAGCGATAATGGAGGAGCTATAATCGAGGAACCACCAGACCATCCTTCGATGAAATCCTCAGAGACTCGCCCCGCCCCCTTACTGTGTATCGCTCACTGATTGGACGATGCAGCGCATGCACTGATCTGATACTTCTTGACATGAGAGCAGTTTCCCAGCGGAGTGAAGAAAACACATGAAACTCACGGGACTCACTCCTCAGTTCATACCGTGTTCTGTTTCAATGAATGCATCATTCAGTTACAAATATGTGATATATCTGAACAACAAAGTGCTCAAAAATCATTTTATTCATTTATTGGAAACATTTTCATGATCGCTTTTTCGTTTTACATTTTCATTTATTGTCATTTCCATTCAGTCAGTCATTAAGTGCTATTTAACATGTTAATTTGCTACATATCCACACAAACAGACAAAGTGTGCAATCCAATGAATGTTAATCTAACTGGGTTTTGATAGATAACATATCTCTTTTTCTTCTCTGAATTATTTTATTTCTATTGTGCACTCTAATCAATATTAATCTAACTAATGTTCGTTTATACATTTTAAGAATGGCGTTTATCTTTTTTGAGAATGAGTTCTTATTTAATGTATTTGGGTCTACAACAGATGATACAAATGTTTGTGTCAGTAAATGTGTACTAACGGAGGCAGGGGTGTTTGTGAAAACAACGGGGACAGAGCTGGCTGCTGTCAGACGATCAGCTGTGCAGCGTCATCACAAACGGACGTCGCTTCACGTGACGCTCCGGAGGAAAGGACGTCCCATTGCTCTTAAAACTCATTTCCCTGCTTCTCGTGGTTTCCTTGCGTCTCTCCATGCTTCCCTGGTGGGAGGGACTAGTCGCAGGGAAACGACGCAAGTGAGGGACGCAAGGAATCCATTTAACCGAAGTGAAACGCAGCCTGTGATTCAATGCTCTTGCCCTGATGAAGTTAACTATTTTAGTTACAACATCAACAACATGGTTCATTTTTAACACTGACTTACACAACACTTCCTGATGTATAATACAATGCAAAAATACCAATTTCTGCTCAGGGTTAATTTCTGTCACTTTATCCTGCATTCTCTTCAATAGTCCAACATTTTTCCGTCAGATTTGGACAACCATCCGTTGTCACGCCTGCCAGCTTGTCCCATTTCAGTCCCAACTTTTCCACACATGCATTTACCTCCGTGAACAAATCACTCCCTGTTGTTGTCCCTTTCATTGACTGCATGGCTGCCAGCTCCTCCGTGATTTTGAAGTCTGTAGTTATCCCACGTAGGAAGATGAGTAGCTGGGCAGTGTCACGTACATCGCAGCTCTCATCCAAAGCCAAGGAAAAAAAGTCAAAGTTGACCGCTCTGTTCTGCAGCTGAAGCTCCAGATTTCCCGCGATGTCCTCAATTCTCCTCGTAACAGTGCGTCGGGAGAGCGGCACTTTCTCAAATGCCTCCTTTTTCTCCGGGCATAGTGCGGCAGAGTCCAACAAACACTCCTTAATGAACTCTCCGTCCGAAAACGGTTTACTTTTAAGACATAACTCGTCTTGACAGCTGCATCTCTGGATGTGGAATGTTTTGTGAAAATGTGTTGTTGGCTTTGCAGCTTAGCTAGCAAAGCATCCGACCCCTTTGCCCGCTCTTCCTCAGACAGGTTCTTGTATTTATCTGCGTGTTTGGTAGCATAGTGGCGACTCAAATTGTACTCCTTGAACACAGCGACCTGCGCACCACAAACTAAACACACAGCTTTACCTTTCACTTCTGTAAATAAATACTTAGCGGTCCATGTCTTGTTGAAAATGCGGCATTCAGTATCGATCTTTCTTTTTTTGCCCTTAGCGGACATTTCGAGGACTAGCCGGCCAGCATCACTCGTAGCTGTTCACGGCATGCGCGTTTACGTAAATAAATTAAAAAAAAAACAGCAGCGCCCTTTTCAAAATAAAAGCAACACAGTTAGAAAAGTATTTACGCCATGCAAGCAATACAGCTGTGTTGCTTTTATTTTGAAAAGGTTGCTGTTTTTTTTCATTATGTTATAATGTATGATCAACCTCACACGGGCCGGCCAAGGCCGGCCAACGGGCCGGATGTGGCCCGCGGGCCGTAAAATGCCCACCCCTGGTCTAGAAGCAAGACTCCAGAGCTAAGAGGCGGCGTCGCTTACGTCTCTCTCTTACGTCGAGGCGTGCAGGAAACTAAACCCACCTCCCCTGAACATGGGTCGACTGAAGAGTCTCGTCATGCCTGCCTACAAGCAGTAGCGCTGAGCAAAGTGACTAGAAGGCAACCACACACTTATAAAAAAAAACACTTTATAAAGTGAGGCAACACTAACCAGGCTTCGTGTGATTCTGTTTGTGTACCTTACTTTGACCATCCGTTCGCTGTTATTGATCATTGTGGAGAGCAGGCAGACGTTTTGTTTTTTATTATAGCAGCTATCGGATGGAATCAATACATGGGCTGCACAGGTTGTCATGTCCGACTATCACAAGTAGAATCATAATGAAAAATACGCCGGTAAAATGTGCCTGTAGAAAACGGCTTAGCAAGTAGTCAGTTTAGCTTCGGTTGCTATGCTAGCATCACCCATGTTATACCAGAAAAACTTTCATAACAGTGTTGTGATGCCAAACAGCGTCAATTCAGACTGACACACATTCACTTAAAGGGAACTGGGGATATGTATCAGCTGCTTGTGTGACAGTCAGACAGTGAATACTTTAGAGCCGTGTGAGCTAACCCGGAGCTGACGGGAGAATAAACTCCCGTGGAAGAGCAGCCAGCACTGCAGCGGTCGGTAAATGCCGCTGAAACACATTAATAAACAATGAACCACGGCACTCTGGAGAAAAGTATAAGGTTGGAGAAGTCGTTATTTTATTTAATCGTATGAATAAAAGCAACACGATCATCGACCCGACGCAGTCCCCCGTTGTTGTTGTTGTGAGCGCCGTTAGGGACCAAATCAGCGATGTAAACGGTGACGTGATGACGCAGCAGCGGCAGCACCATCCCGGCTCTGAGTGGTGTGAACAGAGCGGGAGCAGAAAAGGGAAACCGGAGCTGAACCAGAAAAGCTCTAGCTCGGAGCTAGAAAGGGAAAAGCGCTGGTGTGAAAGCCGCAATAGTGGAACAGAAGGTTTTATCAGTTTGGGTTTTGAGGTAGTTTAAGGGGTTCTTTACGCTTTAATGACCGTCTCGCTGCATATTATCCCTCTTATTTCATGGCCACCTGGTGGATTGAAAAATGATTAGTAAAGGTAGTGTGTTCTACTGTAGCAAAGCCTAGGACTGCTGCAATGGCAACGTAATATCATATGAAGGTAGCATTGATCAAGGTTTTCTTTCCAATTAGAATGTGGGTTTGGTATTTATAAAAAAAAAAAAAAAAAAAAACTTGTGTTGTTTAGGTTGAGTTGTTTTTATGGATCCAATCGTTTGGTAGAAGACGGGACCACAACTACTGGGCAGATTTGCATATAAATTAGGGCTGTCCCGGATACCATTTTTCGTGCTCCGGATATTCGGTAGTAATCAGTATATATTCGGCGCATGCTTCAACACGTGTATTTCGGTTTATTCAAGGCTTTCATTTTGGTAT